CTGCTCTGCCGCCGCGGCAGCGGTCGAGGCTCCCGCGTCCATCAGCATGGGCAGCGCAGGCAGCCCAGGGCCTTCCCGCGCCCGCCTCGCCCCGCGCCGTCCCTGCCAGGAGGGCGCGGGTGCCAGCTCCGCGCCCCCGTGCGCGGCGGAACAGTTACTCGACGCGGAGATCTGGGGCAGAGGGAAATCCTTCAAGAACATGGAACCCTCCGACGGCCCAAACACATCGAATATCCCAGGGCACCCTCTTCCCAGGATGCACAAGAGCATCCAGCAAGCACGAAGAACATCAGGGCATCCTCCCCGAACCGACCTCGAGCGTATACCTCGGTCCGACTGTATGTGCGTATACGTTCCTGCCACTTCTGTCCGTGAGTGTCTGAATGGGGATATCTGAACCTGTGGCGACCGAAAAATCCTTGGCGGCTCCCGACTGGGGTGGCCAAGGGCTATGCCTGCTGCGTCGGGATGCTACACGGGTTCTAAACGGAAAGGGGTCGGGGGGGCCTAAACCAGCGTATCGTCTGAGAGGAGCCGCGATCAGGGCACGAACTGGCAAGCGTACCGCCCCTTGGCGACTCCCTGCTGGGGCGCACGCATGCTATGCCTGCTCGATCGCGGTGACCATGAGGCCCTGAACGGAGAGAAATCGGGGGTGCCAAAACCAGCGAGGTGCTCGAGGCATCCACACAGTCTGGGCGCGAACAGGCAAGTGCAACATCCCTTGGCGGCTCCTCCATGAGGTGCTCAAATATCGCGCCTGCGACCACCGGGCTCTGAGACTGGGCCACCAAGCAGGCCAACCACCTCCAGCATCCCCGCAGTCTGGGCGCGAGCGGCGAAGCGAAATCGCCCTTGGCGGCGCAGCCTCGGCGTGCTCAAATGCCACGCCTGCTACATCGCGGCGACCACTGGGCTCTCAAGTGCGAGGAATCGGGGGTGCCGAAACAAGCAAGCCGCTTGAGACGTCCCCACAGATCTGGGCGCAAACGGGGAAATGTCCTACCCCTCTCGCGGCTCCTCATTGCGGTGCTTGAGTGCCACGCCTGGTAGCTGCATCGCGACGAGCACCAAGATTTGGGCGCAAACGGGCATCCCCAGTATCTGGGCGCAAACGGGCACATGGCCTACCCCATGGCGGCTCCTCGTTGGGGTGCTCAAATGTTACACCTGCTGCATCGCGATGCGCATGTGTTTCTGCAAAGAGCAAAGCTGAGCCACCTAACAGCCAAACCGCCTAAAACACTCCCACGATCTAGGCGCAAACGGCCAAATGTCCTATACTCTGGCCGTTTCTCCTTGGGGTGGTCGTATGCCACGCCTGCTTCCTCGTGATGAGCATGGGGCTCGGAAAAAATGAATCTGCACCACCAACAAAGCAAACCGCCTGAAACATCCCCACAGTCTGGGCGCGAATCCCACCAGCCCTTTGGGCGTAGGTGGTCTAGAGCGTTTCCTCTGTTACCCCTCCTAGTTCCCCTTCGGGGAGGGTTTATTACTGTTCCCTATTGATAAACACCCCCTCCCCCAGGCGACTGGGAGCCAACCAGGGACAATGAGGGTACCCCCCCACCATCCCTTCTAACAAAAAACCATACACTCTGCCTCCAAATTCGAAGCATGCGCAGCCAACCCGATGCGGCCTCCCCCCACCATCCCTGTCAAAAAAACAATACGGAATGTACACTTGGCGGCGGCGGCGGCGGCGGCGGCGGCGGCGGCTGCGACGGCGGCGGCGGCGGCTGCGGCGGCTGCGGCGGCGGCGGCGGCGGCGGCGGCTGCGGCGGCGGCAGCGGCTGCGGCGGCTGCGGCGGTGGCGGCGGCGGTGGCGGCGGGGCGCGGCGGCGGCGGCGGCGGCGGCGGCGGCGGCGGCAGCGGTGGCGGCAGCGGTGCGGCGGCAGCGGCTGCGGCGGCGGCGATTCGGCGGGGGCAGCGGCGCGGCGGCGGCGGCGGCGGCGGGCGGCGCGGCGGCGGCGGCGGCGGCGGACAGCGGCGGCGACGGCGGCGGCGCGGCGGCGGCGGCGGCGGGCGGCGGCGGGCAACAGCGGAGGCGGTGGTGGCGGCGGATTGCCCATCCAATGACGACTGCTGAATATGCTGAGGCTCGGGCCAGGCTCGGGTGCTACGTATGTGTTGGGAGGGCGGGTGGGAGTGAGCGAGACGGCTTGCGGGCGGGGAGGGCGTCTTGACCCCTCCCTCGAACCCCTCCCCTGGACCTGGACGGGGGGTTTCGCGACGCGTTGGAGCGTCCAAAACGGCCTCGGCGAGGAAGCCAAAATCATTGGTGTTACTAAGGTGTTGTCCCCATGTTGGCCTCCTGAAGGGGGGACAGTAATTGGGGAACCCCCCTTCTTTGATAGATGTCCTCCAAGATGGCCCCAAGAGGCGCCCATGAGGCCCCCAGAGGCCCCCAGATGGCCCCAAGATAGCCCCAAGATGGCCCCATGAGGCCCCCAAGAGACCCCCAAGAGGGCCCCAAGCGGCCCCAAGAGGCCTCCCCGAGGCACCCAAGACGCCCAAGAGTGCCTCAGGACCGCCAACAAACCCCCAAGACGTCCCAAGAGGCCTCCAAAAAACCGCCCAAGAGATATCCCAAGGGGCTGCGAGAAACATTCAGGAGACCTCCAAGAGACCCCGAAGAGGCTTCAAGAAGATCCCCGAGGCCCCCAAGATCCCCCCCAGACGCTCCAAGAGGTTTCCAAAACAACTCCCAAGAGACATCCTAAGAGGATCTTATGTTCATCATGTTTCCTCCTCCTTCTCCTTGTCCTGCTCCTCCTCCTCCTCCTCCTTCTCCTCCTCCTCCTCCTCATCCTCCTCCTCCTCCTCCTCCTCCGCCTTTATCCGCCTACTCCTCAACCGAGAACCAGCACCATCAGCAGCAACAGCAGCAGCACTAGCAGCAGCAACAGCAGCAGCAACAGCAGCAGCAGTACCAGCAGGAGCAAGAGCACCAGCAGTAACACTTGCAACCTTCGCCACAAAAGATCTCCCAATTCACCGTTGTTGCCCGCTCTGGTTCACTATGTGCGTCTCTTCTTCCCTTCTTCCGTCAGCTTTCCTGGGCATCGTTTCTGGATGGGCTGGAAGGAATTTCGCGAAGCGTCTATAATTGGCAAATGTCCGACCCAATGGCGGCTCATCCGTGGGATGTTAAAATGCCACGGGATGTTCAAATGCCACGCCTGCTACATCGCGATGGGCATGGGGCTCTGACTGTGTGAGTGACATGTGTATGGGTCTGAGTGTGACTTGGCTGAGTACGTGTCAGTGAGTCCGAATATGTGCAAGTCCGAATATCAATGGATTTGAGGGAGTGGGTCTGAAAACAAAGATCTGCGCGGGCCAGCCTGCCCCGCAGCGCCGTCAAGTACAACTCCCCAAAACAGAGCTTACACTTGTACGGAGTGCGGCCACACTGCCCATCGGCCGTTCGATGACGGATGGGCGGGCACGACCAAAATAGAGCATGGGCCGGTGCACCCAAAACCAAATCACACAGAGGGGTCCACACTTGTGCTGCCTGAGATCTGGTGTTTTTTTTATGCACGGCGGATCGAGAACAGGGCGCGTCGGTCGTGCTGTCTCGACAGCCAGGCTGTCACCACGCAGGCCTGTCTGGTCTGCCTGCGCGGACCTACGTACCACCGGAGCTGGCTGCGCGATTCCAGCCGCGGGGCCCACACGGGGAAGCTGAAGGTGCGGTGGAAGGTCCAGGAGGGCGCACAAAAGGTCCAAGCGGGGAGGAGAAGCGAGGCAGCCTCTGGATGATCGGCGCGCAGCTGTGCTGCGGTGTCCGCCTCACACCGCATCGTCCACGCTCTGCACGGGAACGGTGCCCGCGACATCGGCTGCGTCGTACCCGAGGCCCGCCCGCGCCGCCGCGCGCGCCGCGGCCGCGGCGTGCGAGGGGCCACCGAAGATGGGGGCGAGCAGCGCGTCCAGCTGGCCCAGCAGCTCGCGGCGCTGCGCGGGGCCGTAGATCGGCGACCCCGAGTGCGTGAAGACCTGGGCAAGCCCGCTCTCGGTGTCCAGGAACAGGTCCGGGTGCGCGAGGATGCGGGCCTGGCCGTCCAGGGGGCACTGCCGCGAAAGCCACGCGGAGATCGGGATGCCCTGGCTGGCGGGCCAGCCCAGCGGCTTGGAGCCGTAGGCGACGGCGTCGACCACGGAGGAGTGCACGAAGATCTGCATCACATGGCCGCGGCAAGCGTGCTCCTCGCGGACACGCGGCCTGCCCCGGTCGCGGTACCTGCTCATCTCGAAGCCCCACCGCTCGCCGAGCTCGAGCACGCCCACCACCAGCGAGCGCAGCTGCTGGTCCCCCAGACCGCACGCGCGCAGCAGCTCCTCCAGCATGGAGGTCATGTCGCCGAGGTCGCGGCCTCCGAAGTAGCCGCGCAGGAAGTGGTGCAGCAGCATGGGGTGCCTGTACTCGCCAGAGGCAAACCAGGACGTCAGGGCCGAGACCGCGACGCGCCGGAACTCCACCGCGTGGTCGCTGCTCTGCGCGGTGCGGACGGACAGCAGCGCCTCAAGCGAGTTCAGCTCGCGGAACGGCCGTCGGTCCAGCCGCAAGACGGGCGGGCCGTCCGGCGGGTAGCCGAGGATCCTGGCCGCGAGCGCCGTCTGGAGCTCGTAGAGGATGCACGAGGCGGAGTAGCTGTGGTAGAACACGAAGTAGTCGTCCCCAAAGTCGAGCTCGTTCTGGAGCATGGCGCGCACCTTGGCGGCGCGCACAAGGGGGTGGGGGGGGGGGGGGGGGCTTCTCAGAAGGAGGCTGCTTCTCAGAAAGCGCTGGCCTCACATCTGTAGATGAGGGCCGCGCCTTCCAAGAAGCAGGGGTGCTTCGAAGAAGCCCCCCCCCCCTCCCCCCACCCCCCTCTGCGCGTGGCGGAGCACCGCGATGTTCGCGTGGCACCGCTCCAGCGCGTCCTGCGTCAGCAGCGTCTGGTGCAGCCGGGCGGCGTCCGGGCGCCCGCGCAGCGAGGCGCAGCGCGCGAAGAGCGGCCAGTCCGCCTCGCCGATCTCTGCCTGCCGGGGCCTGGGCGCGGGCGCCGCCGGCCGCCGCGGCGCCAGGCGCGGCGCGGCGGCGACAGTGGCCGGGGCCCCGGCCCTCGCGGCTGGCGCTCGCGACAGAAGCGCCTGTAGGGGGCCACGTGCGAACCCTACCCCTGCCCCCCGCGATTTTTGTGAGGGGGAGGGTGGGGTTCACTTCGCTCGTGAGCTCCCGAGCGAAGTGAGCCCCACCCTCCCCCTCAGAGATCGTGGGGGGTAGGGGTAGGGTTCGCATGTGGCCCCCTAGCCTGCGTCAGTCCAGGGCCCGCCGACGCCATGGAGGCGGATGCGCTGCGCATCAGCAGCCGCTCCTGCACCAGCGAGCCGGCCGCGTTGACGGCCGCTGCCAGCAAGAACGGCCAGCCCGATGCGATCCCTGGGCCGGGCCCTCCGATGAAGAACACCGCCGCAGTGGCCGCCAGCACCGCAAGCCCCTGGAAGGCGGGCCGGCGCACAAGCCTCTGGACGGCCGTGGACACGGCGAGGAAAGGCCGCCGCCAGGCGCCCCGCGCAGCGCGCGCGCCGAGCGCGAAGGCGAGCGCGAAGGCGACAGCGCACAGCGACGGCGTCGGCCGCACCGAGGTCGGGATGTCCTCGCCGCTCTCGAGCAGGATCGTGAGCAGCAGCAAGAGGCACCACAGCGGCGTACCGGGAGCGAGTGGGCAGCTCAGCGACATGACGCAGGCCGCCAGCGGCAGGAGCACCGACTTGCCCGCGGGCGAGACGACGGACAGGACGACCAGGCAGCCGAAGGTGATCAGGCGGCACACCGAGAACACGGAGCCCAGGAAGGCGAGCGCGACAAGCCTGCAGCTGGAGACGCCCGGCCCGCCCGGCGCCGCGTCGAGCGCCTCGGCGGCCGCGGCCTCGGGCTCCACCCCAGCGGCGCGCAGCTCCCGCAGGGCCGAGGCGTAGTACTCCTCATCGGGATACCCGTGCCGAGCAGCCCCTCCCGACGTGGCGGTCTTCAGGTGGATCGAGAAGTTCGGCCTGTACTCTCCGGTGGTCAGAGACTGGCTCAGCGTGAAGAGCACGCGCCGGCGGAAGGCGAGCTGGAACAGCGCCAGCAGCTGGTGGCCCTCGGCGTTGTCCGGCAGGTACGCGTGCTGTGACCGGCCCGCGTAGTCTGCCCCGGGGGGGAAGTGGAAGTGAAGGACGATGGTGCCACAGGTATGGCCCGCCAGCCTCGTCGCGCTCTTGTACCACCGCATCTCCCCGTCGGGCATGTTCCCAATACGCAGGCCGTAGCTGCGTCCGCAGTTCGGACACGTCGGGTTCTGCACCAGCCACCGGTCCAAACATCCATAGTGGAACGCATGACCGCATTCAAGCTCCATCTCTGGGTCCTCATCCAAGCAGATGCTGCACTGCTTCCCACCGGCGCCGCCGCGCCCGGCGAGGCGGCGCGCGGCCAGGGCGCCAGCGTCCACCGGCGGGGACGTCGCCTCGTCGCGGGGCAGCACGATCTGCGCCTCGGGAGCGGCGAGCAGCGCCGGGTGCGCGGCGCCCATGGCGGGGCGGGGGCGGGCCGGCAGAGGGCAGGCGAAGGCCGCGGTGCCCCGACCGGCCGCGCCTAGGTCTCGCGCGCGGGCGCGCCCCGGGGCGGAGCCGTCCTCTGAAGAGCGCGGCGGAGGCTGGCCTGCACAGGCCTTGAGCCAAAATGGCCACGGACGCCTGAGATCTGGTGCCCTTGTGACGAGGCCCTGGTGGACACCACAGCTCGCACCACGCACTCTTCTCCACGGCACCACGCGGGAGGTGTTCGCTGAAGAGCGTCTTCGGGAAGCGAGGCTCGTCCTCGGGGAGGGCGCGGCCAGAGACCCGAGGCGGGACCGCGAGGGTCTCCGACACGCGCGGCGGAGGAGACTCGGAGAGGCGAGAGGTCTCCGAGTCCAGCCCCAAAACACCCGGAGGGTGCAAGGAATCCCACGCCACCCCATTCAGCACACTGTGCTCTTCTCCTCCACCTCCTCCTCCTCCTCCTCCTCCGCCTCCTCCTCCTGCTCCTCCTCCTGATCCTCTTCACCCTACTGCTACTCGTTGTTCTCCTTCTCATCATCCTTCCCTCCCTCCAACCTCCTTCTCCGAGCAAACCTCATGGGCATCGTTTCTGGATGGGCTGGTGGGGGTACGCAGAGCGTTCAGAATTTTCTCGAAAGCTCACAGTTTAGTATAGCTGCCAGCACTCAGAGATCGCACACAGTCCTGGGGATACCACCAACGAGGAAATAACCGATGGGAACAGCTGGCGAGACCGCGTTCGAGATTCAATATGGGACGCTCTCCGCAAGGAGCGCAGAGCCTGCACTGTCGCGCGCGACCATCTCCGCTCAGTGCGCGCAAACATGATGCGCAATGTCTCCTCCTGCACAGACCGACGTGAAACTGGGCGTCATGAGCACGGTCGCCCAATCTGGTACACCGAACCGCTGGCCGAACAGATAACAAAGAAGGGCACCCGTCACACAGGCACTTACACCCGACCCATACAGCGCGTGCACGCGGCACCGGTGTCTCCCTGCCTGCTCGTAGAGCGCGCACGTAGTCTGATCCCCACTCAACCACTCCACTCACCGGGAGCACACTGCCAAGGTGCAGCGCCACCCACTCGAAGCGCGCAGCAGGCACTCACCTAAACCGCGAATGTCACAGTCAAGGCGAAACGGAAGTGTGACTGTCTGCCCCGATCATCCTGACCTGGAAAGCCTGGTGCTTGCCAACATGATGTACGCAGCTCAATTCGAAACTCGCCGTTTCAGAGATTGACCCCCACAGTTGCGAGTCTGGAGGGCTGTCACAATCTAAACTGCAATCAAGTTACGCTATTCTTGTGCCTGCTCCAAAAATCAGTCTGAGTGTTCAGGCTGAAGGGGAACGCTTCTTGAGCCCATGCTAGCACACGTCTTGCATGCACGCATGGACACAGCAATGCAGCGCCAGAACTGGTCGACGATCCTGGAGAATTTGTTCAGCAAACATCGCTCGAGCACGTAATCGTTACCCACATGGTCGTGCGTGCAGCAATACGCAAAGGTACCGATGACTGACAAAATGCATACACATGGCTCATGTTGTGATGATGGGAATCCAGACATCCGGCGTCCCAGTATTTCAAGATATGGGCCCCTAGACTAGACCTATCTACCGCTTCCCAGGGACCAGTGTTCCATCCCGATAGTTTATTCACGGTTCTGGGGCCCGAAGATGGGCCCAGGAGACTGAAAATGAAAAGAAGTACCAGCCGTCTCGATGTTCTCGAGCCGACGGATGTCTTGGAACACCAGCTCCCGATCATCCCTCAAACATCGCGTACGCTGAAGGGGATCACCAGGAATTCGAGCGGCCTGCCCACACTTTCGGTGCCACAGGACCAGCCGAGACGGGCCCTACCAGAGCCACTGGCGGATAGCCCTGCTGGCCCCGCCAGCCACGATGGCTTCGAGGGCGCGCAGACTGTCGGCGACGCGCTCGTGGGCGTTGGCGAGGGGGGGGGGACGGCCTTCTAGGAAGGCAGGGGGCTCCTCGAAGGCTTGCAAAGAGGCCGCCCTGCCCTCCCAGACGGCCGCCCCCACTTGCGTCGTCCTCTCCTGCGCAGCGCCGACGTTGCCAGACGGCCACACTCAAGGTCTAAGCCCTAGGCCGAGCAGTCGGCTAGCGATGAACAGGAGCAGCTCTCGATACCGAAATCGGGTTCGACTGCGAGAAGTGGTTGTTATGGTTGCCCACGGATCTAAAAACTTGACAGCTCTGTCGCGCACAGCTTGAGTATCGCACGTGTTCCTGTTACAGCTGAGCCATCGCATCCCGAACCGTACCTTCCCACCCTCCTCATCCCCTGCTGATATGCTCGTAGCACCCAGCTAGCAAGCTCCTCCTTGTCCTCCTTCTCCTGCTATCCAATGTAAGGCCATCCGCCTGCTCTGCCATCCCATTGCCATCATTGGGCCTTCTGGTTCATGGTCTCACCCGACTATCCCGGCCCTCCCGCCGTGATCGTACTGGCACCTGTCGCCGTGGAAGCAGAAGCCCTTCTCGAAGTACTTGCAAACACCCTTCGAGGCTTCTTTTCATAGTGGACCGCGCGCGTAAGACAGAGGCCCACTCCCTGGGTCCAATCAGCGGGTGGAACGAGGGGGGGCCACCCTCGAAGAAGAATCCTTCTGATGAAGCGGCGCAGCTGGCCCGAGAACCTCCCGAGGACCGCACACGGGCGACAGCAGGGCAGAAAAGCCGGGCAGCGCAGGCCAGAGAAAACATCATTGCGCCGACCTTGTGGACGTGCTGCAGCGGATCTGTGCTTCGACTTCTGTCGATGCGAGACCCCGAAACGGCGAGCGAAAAACGACGTGAATCTTACGTGGATTTGTTGCAGTCTTCATCCCTGGCCAAAAACATCCGCCCGAAATTCACATCGAAATCCGGAACGTAACTCTCCAGGACCGTCCCGAGCCCTTCCTATTGCTTTCCGAACGAAGTCCGCTCTGCGATGCTGGCGCCATGCAAAGCAGGCCCACTCCCTGCAGCCGTGCACCGGGTGTGAAGAGTGTGCCGAAACGGTCGCGTGGAGGGCAGAGGCAGGGAAGGGAGGAGAGAGGAATCACAGGGGATATGCCGACCCCTGTCCCAGGCTTCGCGGGGTTTTCGAACGCTGGGATATACAATGTGGGGGTCCATCCTCGACAGGCGTGCGTCCGAATCACCCCCCTTTGGGGTGTATCTAAAAATCTCCTTCTGTTTCTGAGCGGCTTCATTTTCTGGAGTTCCCCCCGACGGCGCTCTATCCTGAGATATTACAATGCGCACACCCTCGCACACTATATCAGATCGATTCGTATTCGCTCGCCTTCCAGCCTACATGCAGCATTGTTCAACAAGGACTGAGATCAGGCGCCAGGTATCCCAGAGCGATGACATGCTTCCTGATGTCAAAGATTTGCACGGCGAATGTTAGATGCAGTCATCGGTTGTGGCTGGATGATATTTCACAGACCACGTCGGGCTCCCAGCAGCAGGTCAAGCGCGACTTCGTCAAATGCGTCGTGGGGACAGCGAGAGGCTTGCAGAAGCAGGGGCTCAAGATGGCTGGTAAGTCAGTGATTGCATGCTCGAAATTAGCGGAGGCCAAGGACATTGTCCGAGCTCTGCGACTTCGGGGAGTGTTCGTCACGGCGGCCAGACGTACGTCCTACCTCAAGATTAACCTAGGCGGAGGACGCACGCACGTCAAAGCGGAAAGGGGGAGAAGGAGGGTCGAGCACTTGGCCCGTCACAAGAAGGTCGTCAAGTACGTGCGGAAGCTGCGCAGGTCACAGCTCACCTCACGGCTCGAACGCCAAGGAGCGCAGGCGGCTGGGAGCTACGGCCACCAGACGTTCGGAGTGATGGGGCAGGAGCTGGTCAACTACAGGCGTCGGTTGGGAGCGGCTTGTCACTCGAAGAATAAAAGCAGGTGCCTCACGACCCTGCTGGAGTTGGGGGCACATGGGCAAGACCCAGCTGCTCGCTTCACGTACCATACCTTCTCCATGTGGCCCCGACAAAGGCAGGCACACCCAGAGGCTCGTGCTAGCATCCGCAGGGCCTGGCCTGAACTTCGCCAGAAGCTTGAAGCTGTCCCTGCCGCACATCGGTCTCGACACGTTCGAGGGCGCATGGGTGCGATTATTGTGCACTTGCTGGATGTCCAATAGGTGCCGTGATCGCCGACGACCTGGGACCCCCCCGGGGACCGCGGCTGGGAAGTACACGGCTCGACTTTCACGGGGATCGAGGCCATCGAGTTCACAAGTCTCTATGAGTTGCTAGAGGAAGTCAGAGACGCAGCCGTGGCCCCGTTCTGGAAAGGGGCAGAACAACACTTTGATGGTGAGGGGCTCAAAGATGGAGTGGACAGTTATTCGTACCGACGGTTACTTCAGAAATTTACCCACGTTCGCCCTGCTGGCAAACGTGTGGCAAGTGCTCTTCTTTCTGTTGCTGTTGGCGGCTCGTGGATCAAGGCACGTAGAGCGGATGTATATTATTCGTCCGCGGCAGCTTCGAATGGTGCAGCTCGGCTCGACCTGTGTGACCGATGCGGCGAACTCAGGGAGACTTCTCATCACAGGCTCTGGCCTTGTCGCTGCAACGCAGGATCGGAAGCGTACGCGAAAAGTGAGCGTCTGGCGGCAGAAGCTGGCAGTCAGCACGAGCAAGCAACGTGTGTTTGGCACCGTGGGCTCATTCCTATGCAAGGGAAGATCATGCCTAGCCCGATCCACGCCGACGACTGGGAAATCGACGGACTGAATGATGCCTTTGTCCCAGGGTGCCTTCCGATCGGTACCGAGAGTTGCCCTACGCACGTATTTGGTGATGCAGGCGGGGGGCCTGACACGGCGGACCCGAGGCTGCGTCGAGTGGCTGTGAGCATCGCAGTCACCGGCCGAAGTCAGCCAATCGAAGTGGGCTGTTGTGTGCTTGGTGGGTTGGCGGGCCCCCGTCAGGCAGTGGCCCGTGGCGAGCGCTGTAGCTCGCAGCATTCGCAGCCAATGGGATTACGGTCTTTACCACGGCTTGCAAGTCTCTCTTCGATGGCTGGCCACCGGAGTCGACGCGGATAGGTGGGCTCGTATCGGGGCTATTCTCGAAGAGAAGAACACCAGTACGATACGAGTGCGTTTCGCCCACTCGCACCTCGATGGGGAGGCGATCCTAGATGGTAAAGCGGAGTTGTGGCAAGTTCGAGGCAACACGGTCATCGACACTCTGGTGGGACAAGCGGCCCTCGAGCTACGAGTGCCAGCTGTCGACCGACATCGGCACCACGATGTCGAACGGCAAGCACACCTCGTGCGGCATCGGCTGCTACGTGCGACGTTCGACTGCTTCCAGGCGGGAGAGGCTCCGAGGAAGAACGAGACCCCTCCTCCTCCTCCCCTCTTCCGCCCACAGTGTCTGTCGCTGCCAATTTCGCCACCAGCCATTCCTTGGACGAAGGGGGCCTTGGTTGCCTGAAATGTTGTGGAAAAGCCCTCGCATCTAACTGGTCGGTATCACCCTTAGCCTATTGGTGATCAACTCCATTTAGCGGAGGGCTGGGTCCACGGTAGTCACATCACCAATATGTGTTCCGCTCAGATGTTGTGGTTTTCTCATGGGTGTGGCTCCTCCAGCAAGACAAGTGAGCGTCATCGTCCTTGTAAACTGCGAACCACACCCACGGGGGGAGAGCATTTGAACCGACCTGACGGAAGGTTATGGCCCAAAGTCCGTAGCAGGGCTGAACTGGCCGCCCGTCACGGGTCTGTGCGGTCCTGCCCCCATGTGTACAGCAACATTTCACTCGCCGAGCTGACATTCCCGCCGTTCCCCTTTATTCTTCGTAGAAAAATCGGGGAGGGGGGGGAGAGAGAGAGAGAGAGAACAAAAAAAAAGAAAGAGAGAGAGAGAGAGCGAGAGAAAATAAAAAAAATAAAAAATGATAACAATAAAACTTGAAAAACATGGGGGGGAAGAGAAAAAAAAACACCAAAAAACACACAAAAACAAAAAAAAAAAAAAAAAAAAAAAAAAAAAAAAAAAAAAAAAAAAAAAAAAAAAAAAAAACGCCTGCGGAGGAAGGGGAGGGCCGGTGGGAAGCGAAGGGTATCGCGGGGCGCGGTCTCTTCAGATCGAGGACACAGAACAGCACAAGACGGCTAAGAACGAGAGCGCCGGCAGCGGGAGCGCGGACGACCCGCGGGCACCGGACGACCTGCCCCAGGACCTCCCGCGACCTCGCCTCTCGACCCGCGCGCGGGACTCCCGCAGCCATCAGCACCAGCTTCCGCGCCTCGGCCCCGCCTGAACGCGGCCTGGACGAAGACATCTTCGGGCGAGGACAATCCGCGAGTCTCCGAGATCCGGCGGCACTGGAGGATGTCTCGGGCGCCGCGGCCTCCCCAAAGCGTTCCGCAACGCTGTGGAATGCATTTCTCCTCGCCCTAGCCTGAGGTCGGGCATGTCCTCCTGCACGCGGATTTTGGATGAAAAATTACAAATAGTCAAAAGATGCTCAAGAATATGCTCGAACAGTAGAAAATCGTCACCAATGGTTTTGTTGACTATCTTCGAAGATTCCTCCTGTAGAGGGACATGCCCGACTTAACCCTGGCCCCGCCCGACCTCCCCCCCTCGCATAGCTCGGCGCGGGCGGGTCCTTCGAGCCCGCTCGCCGCGTCGGCGCCAGCGCCGGAGGTGGGGCCACGTGCCCGAAGGGCGCCTGGGGGCGGCGCGCCCCCCCACCCCCCCCCTTCGTCGAAGACTCTGCGCCCCGCCTCCCGGCCAGCCGAAGAGAGGAGGAGGAGGAGGAGGAGGAGGAGGAAGAGGAGGAGGAGGAGGACGAGGAGGAGGGACCAGGGACCAGCTGAGTCCATCGTTCCCGGCGAAACGAACTATGGCCGTGAGGTCGGCCAGGCAGAAAGGGGCCTGGCGGCTAGGCGCAGCAGCCTAGGCAAGGCAGTGGCACGGCGGCGGCTCACAGCCGCGACCTGCTCAACGCCGTGAGGCGGAGCACGGACCACGGAGGGCAGGCGGCCACGGGTCCCGAGGAGGGAGAGCCGCGACACAGAGGCCTGCGGAGGAAGCGCGAGCCACCCTCCGAGCCGACCCTGGACGCCAACCCGCCGAGCGAGAGGGCGCCATAGCCTCCGCTAGGTGGGAGGCGCGCGCCCAGCCAGGAGAGAGTCGCGGAACCAGGCCTGGGCCCGCGGTTGCCTTGCCCCTGCAGGGCAGCAGCAACGAGCGGCAGCGCGGGGCGTCGGTCGCAGCCCGCGCCCCGCACCTCCTGCACACGAGGTGGGATTCGGTGGCCTCCACATGCCCGAGATGCGAAAAGGTAGGCGGGGGCCGTGGCGGGGCCGTGCCTCCCGCGCCCTCGCAAGCCAACTCGGGGAGCCCCAGCGCGCTGCGAACGGCCTCGCACCGAGCCCTCGGCAAAGCGCGGCCCCGCGGGATCGGTTCCCGCGGCCTAGCGCGGGCTGCGACCTCTGGCGCGCTGGCGGCAGCAAGCTGTGAAGCACGACTGACAAAGTCGATTGACGTCATCGCATCCTGGAACTGCGCTCGCACATTGGAGGTGGCCACCTCCAACAGCTCGCGGGTTGCCGCCCCACTCCGCGCGAAGAAATCGGCCCAAGCGTTGTCCAGAAAATCAAAAACCTCCTGGGGCCCATCGGCCCCCAGGCTCGCCTGGCCCTCGAGGACCCGATCGAGGATCCCGCGGGTGGGGGTCCACACGAAGCGGGGCCGCTCGGCGCGCCCTCCGCATAAACCAAAAATCGTCCGCCAGGTCGCGGCATGCTTGCCCGACCCTGCAGACATAAGGCTGCCCCACTCGTTCCCCTCCCGCACCGCGGACAAGTGATCCGAATCGACGACAGGGCCCCAGGGAGCAACACGCAACGCTTGGAGGTTCGCCTCTCTCTTTTTCTCTCTTTCTCTCTCTCTCTCTCTCTCTCTCTCTCTCTCTCTCTCGGAGGAGGAGGAGGAGGAGGAAGAAGAAGAAGAAGAAGAAAAAGAAGAAGAAGAAGAAGGAGGAAGAAGAAGAAGAAGAATAAGAAGAAGAAGAAGAATAATAAGAAGAAGAAGAAGAGGAAGAATAATAATAAGAAGAAGAAGAGGAGGTGGAGGTGGAGGAGGAGGAGGAGCGTCGAACCACAGGAATTCACCGAATCCGGTGGTTGCCCTGCCTTCTGCACGTCCTTCGCGTCGTGCGGATGACCTTCCAGGCCCACAAGCTCAGCTACGAGGACCACAGGCACAGCTACTACAGCCACCAGACGAGCTACAAGAGCATGCAGCAGAGTCTCGAGGACCACAAGCTGAGCTGCGGGGCCCAGAGGCACAGCTAGGAAACCCACCGGCACAGCCACAAGGACTGCGAGCTGAGCTACTACGAGGGCCACCTGGTGAGCTACGAAGGCCACAAGCTGGGCTACAAGGGCCACACGCAGGGCTACGAGGATCACCGGCTGAGCTACAAGGCCAGAAGCTGAGCAGCGTGAGCCGCGAGCAAAGGTACAAGTGCCAACAGATGAACTGCATGAGCCACGAGCAGAACCTCGAGAGCTTCCAGCACAGCTGCGAGGGCCGCATGCTGAGTTTCGAGGGCAACAAACTGAACTACCAGGGCCGCAGGCAGAGTTCCGAGAGCCACCAGCTGCGCTACGCGTGCTACCAGCGGAGCTACGAGGGCCAAAGGCTGAACTGCGAGATTCACCAGCGGAGCTACCAGGGCCAACTCCTCAGCTACGAGAGCCGCCAGCCGAGCTGCTGGGGCCAGAGGCTGACCGACGAGGAACCTCTAGCAGAGCTACTGTGGCCACCAGCCGAACAACGAGGACCACAAGCTGGGCTACAAGGGCCACGCGCAGAGCTGCGAGGAACCCCGGCCGAGCTACCAGGACCGCCTGCTGGGGTCGAGTGGCCCGTCCACGACTAGATCTACAGTAGGAGCCACAGGCCGCGGCTCAAGAATCACGGCTTGATGGGGGCGCACACGGAAACACATCTCCAGCAACTACTGGAGCAGCAGTGGCCAATACTAAAAGTAGATTGAGCACGGGCCCACTCCAGAATATCAACGAAGTGATCTGGGACATGGCTGTTGAGAGGCTCGGCAACGAAGAGGCGGAAGGGTACCACCGCACTCGGGAGCCCACGGAGACCAGGCGGCCGATCACCATTGGTGATCTTGTCGAGGCGAAGCTCGGCAAGAAGTACATCGACTGCGCAGTAATACAGATCGACGAACTGCAGACTACGGTCCAGTGGGAGAACGGCCGAGAGTCCATGGTAGGCAGAGCTACAATCTGGCGGAATCCGCAGAGGTGAAGCCATCTGTACAACAGCTCATCGATTGACCTGACTGCGGCTTGGGGCCAAACCGCTGCGACAAAAAAGTGCACTTAGTCGACACATCGGATCTCGGGGTACACCTCCTGGCTTGGCCAGAGAAGCGTGCACACAGATCCTGGGCCCAGGATGGGCCGAGTCAGGATCGATGATCGTGGAGTTGATCAGTTTGGAGGCAACTCCAGGAAGGCCTTTCTGAGAACCACTGGCAGCTCTCCGTCCTTACAGGTGGGGCAGTGCACTAAGCCAGGTGGAAGCACGCTGGGCCCAGGAGTTGCTGCTAAATGAGGTGGTCCGCTGGCGCTGGGCGCCACTGCGCGCGGCCAAGGGGGGGCGCCCCCAGGCGCTGCCCTCCCGTGCTGGCGTCCCAGGCGCGCTCCCCGCGCCAGAAACGGCCAGAAATCCGTGTCCATCCAGACACGGCCAGAAATCTGTACCACGTGCTGCCGGCGTACGGTGCGGGCGCGGCCGCGAGAAACCCTCGCAAGAGACCCAGCCCTGAGAACCCGTGCGCGAGGGCTGCACCTGAGGGGAAACCTGGAGCACCCTGAACGCAGCAGCTCCTTCAACTGCTGCGGGAGGTCACCGCGCAGCGCGAGGAGCGAAGAAACCCAGGATACCCTGACGAAAAGCATTTGGTTTCTTGATGCGCGCCCCCACTGTAACAGCAAGGGTGGGCATAGCGCTACGGACAAGGACGTTACAAATACTACGCTGCAGACAGGGTACGCCGTGCACAGCGCTGCAGACAGGGCACGCCGTGTACAACGCTGAGCGCAAAGCACGCCGTCTCCGGCACCTGCTACCACATCTCTCAAGCGGCCCGGCCGCTCCATCCTCTCCCCCCACACCCCGCACCCCCGTTGGGCCTCAGGATGATACACGGCACGGCACGCTCACCAGGGGCACGAACCAAGACTTCCGAAACTACAGACTTAAAGCTCGCTCAAGTTCCTCGAGTGCGCTTCTGAAAGCGGTGCATAGCACTAGGGCGGGCTCGAACGTCCCATTGGAGTCCAGATCGGAGGTATCCCTGGACCCAGCGACGACCAAGAGCCACTATCAGATAGGAATGGTACCGCAGGAGACGCGGGCGGCCCTCCCCCGCCCCCTCCGGAACGGGTAGGTCCCGCACCGGCCCTGGCAACGCGAGCGCGCGCGGTCGGGCGCGGCGCGGCGACCGCGTGGGGACGCCCGATGGCGCTGCGAGAGAGGGAGGAGGAGGAGGAGGAGGAGGAGGAGGAGGAGGAGGAGGAGGAGGAGGAGGAGGAGGAGGAGGGGGAGGAGGAGGAGAAATGAAGAGGAGGAGGGGGAGGGGGAGGAGGAGGAATGAAGCAACGCGCGGAGTGGTCAAAATGATTGCTCATCTCACGCCGAAACACTCCTCGAACCCTGCGGGGATCCCCCCACTGGCAAACCGCACTGCCCCAGAACGACGGCGAGCCACCGAGACGCCGCACAGGCGCGCGCGGGGGGGGGAGGAGGAGCAGCAGCAGCAGCAGCAGCAGCAGTAGCAGGAGCGGGAGGAGGCTCTGATTTCGGAGTTCGGAGGAGGTCAACTCTGCAACGAGGCGGACTAGACGCACGTGGCCGCATCAACTGCAGCGGTAACAAGGTGGGCGAGGAGTCCAGCCGAGCGACATTCAAACTCACATCAGAAGCGTGACGAGTGCGCTCGCACGCCTTACACTGCGAATCCCCAAAGGTCCCCTGAGGCCGCCAGAGGACCAATGGTCTGCGGCCCTAGGGCCCGAACCTTGTCACTCCCCGCAGGGAGCCGAAAGACGCTCAAAACCTGGAGTCTCGATTCCACGACCCTTGGACCCTTCCCCCCTTCTACCTCCTCCTGGGGCGCGGGAAGAGAGAGGGGGGGGCAGCAGGCAGGAAAGGTGTGCAGCAAGGGGGGGAGGCAGAGATGGAGGCAGGGAGGAAAGGGGAGGGAAAGCAGGATGCGTCTCCTCTTCATCATCCTCCTCCTGATCTTCTCCACCTCCTCCGTTCCACTGGCGGTGGCGGCCTCGAGCGGGACGCAGTTGGCCAGCATGGACGGCATCGGTACGGAGACCAAGGCGTGTTCCGCAGGTGGAGGAAGACCTAGAGTCAAAACTGATAGTAAGAATGCGCGGTAAGGATGCAAGTCCCCTGGACGCCCATGTCGAAGCTTTTCGAGCGGGGCTGGCCATCGAGAGGGGTTGAGGATGGACGGACGAGGCAAAAGATGCAAGGGTACCCTTCGGAACGCCGCCCATCCTTATCATCGGTTTCGACTGTAAGGGGGGGGAGCGAGGCATCCCCGTCGTCGTCGTCGTCGTCGCCGCCGCCGCCGCCGTCGCCGTCGCCAGACATCCAACGTCTTGAAAGAGGTGACGGCAGAGGCGTTCCGCCGTCTCCGGCCTCTGGGTCCCTCGCTGGGCCCAGGAGCGCCAGAAAGCCAGCTCAGGACAAAAAGCGTCAGAAGACTGACATGGAGGGGGGAACGAGGCACCGCGGGTTCGTATCGTGTCGACCCCTGCTTTGGTTCCTGACTCCGCGGGGATCGTTCAACCTTGAACGATCGGCGGCTTTCCGACCGCCTGATCGTTCAACATAGACCAATTCTGGGTCGCCGGCGGCGGTCAACGTTGAAGGCTGGCGACGGGGTCGCCGTTGGTCGACACGACGCGAACCTACCGTACCCAGGAGAGGGGAACGAGAAAATCCCGCGTTCGTCGTGATTCTTGGGGCCGTCCCGGCCCGTCTAGGGGCCATCTCGAGGCTCTCGGTGGTCCCATTTCGAAGGCCGCGAGTGGGCCGATCTTGGGCCGAGGAGCGTGGCACACGAAAAACAAAAAGAAACCTGCTGGAAAATCGATGTGATTGGCCTCTCGGGGGCATCCGGGAGAGTGTCTCGAGTGTGTCTACGGGCATCTTAGAGAGCTCGTCGTCGTCGTGGTCGTCGTCGTCGTCGTCATCGTCGTCGTCGTTGTCGTCGCCGTCGAGTTTCGAGGATCGAGGGTTTTAGAGACGCGCATCAGAGAGTTCGAATCGTCTGAGCGCCTTTTTCCTCCAGAGCCTTCAAGTTACCCCGGGGACCCCCAGACGCCTCTGGAGACCGCAGACAGGACCCCAAGGTCGAATCCTGATGGCCACTCCTCCCTGGCAAAAACCGAGCGGGCACTCAGAACAGACTGTCAAGCGAACGTCGTGCACCTACGTGAACATGCCCCCTCCGTCGTTGACTTCTTCGGGCGCAGCGGCAGCTGTGCGTCCACCGGCCGATTCCCCCCCGCGAGGACAGAGGCCCCCTCGAGTGGCAGCTCCTCCTGGCTTCGTTCCCGCAGGCGCTCCGAACTTCACCGAGGCGCCGAAACATCGGCCCTGCAACCCACGTTCCTTCAGCACAGCATGAGCCTCCTCCAGCGGTGGCAGACGGCCTCCATCCCTCCCTCTCTCTCTCCCTCTCTCTCTCTCTCTCTCGTTCTCTCTCTCTCTCTCTCTCTCTCTTATCATATCTCTCTCTCTCTCTCTCGATCTCGATCTCTCTCGCTCCCTCTCGATCTCTCGGGCCGGGGACCCTTCATTTTCGCCCACGCACCGAGGCCGCCACTGCCCCCCTTGCTCCCAGCCCCCCTTCGCCTCTTCCGCCCTTCGGTCGGCGGAACTGGCCGCCGCGAGGGCCTTTGCGGTAGCAAGGGGTGGGGGGCATGCAGCTGGTTTTCCAGCGCCTCTCTGACTACCTACCAGACTACCCCAACCCAACCCGAAGACCCGAATTTGACCCGAATTTCGCGTTGGGAGGGATACGGGTTCCATGTTTTGTTCAATGTTCCCGGGCACTCCCCCCCCACCACTGGAAATGGATGGCAAATTGACGCCTTCCGGCTGGGTTGGGGTGGTTTGGCGGGTGGTGACTCTCGGAGCTGGAGGGGGGGCAGAGGCGAGCGCAGAAGCTGAAAGGTCGCGGCCTACTCCTGAGCATCACGTTGTGGCGTCGACGGGCCGCTGTAAGACTCCATCGGCCGGTCAGTTAGTATCCTCTGATGCGAGTTCGCACTCGACGGGTGGATTGGCGATCTACAACTGCTCTGAGATTCGCACCGACTGCTCTGCGCTGCAACACAGGCCTCGATCAGACTCGAGCGGTCGTGTCGCGCTGGTGGCACTGGGCGCATCGGAACTCTTCCAGAAACGCGGGATCTCGAGGTCAGGCCTGACGTCAAAACGAAGACGATCCAGAGGATCTATGCAGGGAGCACCGCTTCTCTCAAAGGCCAGACCCAGAGTGGGGGAGGGAGCGCGGCCGTGGGCGCGCCCGACGCGGGCACGCCTGCAAGTGCGCTTCCCCAGCTGTCCCCCTCGAACACTGCGGGCCGGTAACTGTAGCCCTTGTCCTTGCCCTTGCCCTTGCCCTTCTTCCCCTTTTTGCCTGGGCGCGGTAGTAGGGAGATACCCACCACAGCGACGACAACGACGACAACTACGACGACAACGACAACGACGCCACCGACGACGACGACAACGACGGCGACGCCGACGACGAAGACGACGAAGACGACGACGACGGCGGCGGCGGCGGCGGCGGCAGCGGCGGCAACGACCAGGACGACGGCGGCGGCGGCGGCGGCGGCAACGACGACGACGACGACGACGACGACGACGACGACGACGACGACGACGACGGCGGCGGCGGCGGCGGCGAGGACGACGATAACGACAACGACGACGACGACGACGACGACGACGACGAGCACGACGACGCCGAAATTGTGACGGCGAGGACGACGACGACGACGTTGACGACGACGACGACGACGACGGCGACGGCGACGGCGAGGGCGAGGGCGAGGACGATGACGGCGTACACGACGACCACGACGACGAGGAGGACGGTGAGGACGACGAGGACAACGACGAGGGCGAGAACGAGAAGGCGAAGGACTACCATTTCGACGACCAAGGCGACGGCGACTACGACGAGGGTAGAGACGACGACGAGGACGTCAAGGACGAGGAGGACGACGACGGCCAATAGACGACGACGATGCTGTGACGACGGCGGACAAAGACGAGAACGAGAACGACGACGAGCACGACGAGGACAAAAACGACGAAGACGATGACTACAACGAGGACGGCAAGGACGGCGGAGACCGAAACCTCGTCTCAGTTTCCTCGACGTCGACCCCCGCTGGTGGCCAGGGGGGGCGCTTCAGAGGGACTTGCCAAAGGGGGGCACCTTACTCGAAGGAGGCTTTGTCGTCTACCCGCCCCACGGCCGTTCTCCTGCTCGAGGGCCTCGCGTTGCTGGACTTCCCTCCTCTTGGCACCCACCACCTCCATGGAGGCGGCGTCGCTCCTCCGCGGTGGGGCCCAAGCCGACCCCTGCCCGCCGACACCGTCGCCTTCACGAAAACGTTGATACACTGGTTTCGACACGGTGAGCCGCAGGAGCTCGGGGAACACTCTGATCACCCGCAGCGCCACCGTCGACGCCTCGACCCGGACCAGCGTCTCGTTGAGCATGCGAACGACCAGCTCGGCTTCGCGCTAAGGTGCCAAGGGGGAAGGAATCGGCAGCGCCCCTGCCGACTCACCACCGCCAGCTGAACACATCGATGCTGTCGCCCGTGACGGTGGTCAGGGCGCCCATCCCCACGCGCTGCGGCCCCAGGGCATGGTGCCCGTTGATGGAGGAAACCTCCGCCTGAACGTCCTCCTCGTCACCGCTGTCGGGCTCGAAGAGGACGTCGTCGATTTGCCGCGGCCGTCCAAGCTGTACACTGCTACGCCCCTCGGGCCTTCCGCGGGGACGGCGGGAGCGGGCAACAGGTCGCTGTCGGACACCGCCTCCGTCTGCTCGCCGATGTCCGTGTCACTCGCGCTCTCGCCCGAACCTCCGCGGACGCGCTTCGTCACCACGAAGCACTTACCCTCGCTCAGACTGTAGTCCTCCAGGGACCGTCCACCACCTCCTCCGACCAGGCCCCCAAGACAACCTCGGACGTGTCGAAGCCGCAGTGACGAGCGAGCCTCACGCGGAAGGACTCCGCCATGGCCCCGTTCTCCACCTCGTAAACCCGCTCCTCCGCCAGGGAGGCCGAGGAGGTCGTCACCAAGAACGAGGTGGTGGACTGTCGACGGGGCCGCCTCTCCCACCTTGGAGCGAACGGACGGCCCAGCTCGCTCCGTGTCCTCTGCGATCTCCGTCGGCCCGCCCGCCTCGCGGGGTTTCTCCACCGCCGCGCTCACCCGAGGCCCCACGACCCCATCTGAGCGACGATCAAAAAAAGGGGGTCTCACGCGAAATGGCATGGCGACCTCACGCGGCGGCCTGTGCGGGTCGCCAGCGCGGCACGCCGCATTGGAGACGAGGGTGCCTACGCGCGACCTTACGCGGGCAACTTGCATGCCAATGTTGGCGCAGGCGATCCCGCTTCTCTGCGTCGCGCATCTGTTGGCGCACCCGCAATCTCGGGCCCTGCCAAAGCGAGAACCGCTCGCCGACCGACTCCTGCTCAACGCGGGTGGTGTTTCGGGCGGCGGGCGGGACCTCGAGCATCCACTCCGCCGCAGAGCCCCGTCGTGTGGGCCCAGGCTGGTCTGACGACGTCGCCCTGCTGGAGCGAGTCCGAAGCGACGATCCCTGTGGCCAGAACCAGAGATTCGAGGGGCAGCCTTGCCCGCGAGAAGCTGGAGCGCTCAAACAATTGTGGCCATACACAGGGAAGCAGCATGCCGAGAGTCGTGCCCAACGCGCGAGCCGAGAGTCACGCACCTACATGGTGCGGGCCGTGAAAAACCGCCCGCGCAGTACACCGAGGTCATGAGGCTCGAAAGGTGGAGTCACTGCTGCCCGTGACGACAGAGGTCGCAGCTCAACACTGATTTGCGTTCCACCGTACAGCGCCCAGGTCAAAAGATGCTTGACTTACAGCCCGCGGAGAAGGAGGTGAAAGAGAGACAACCGCCTGGGAAGAAACCCAAGGTGGTGAAAAAGCTCGACACGGGCACAGCCTGGGGCGCTCCGGCACGATCCTCCCTAAGGACGCGGCCCAAAACTCGACTGGCGAGTCAACCCACTCGAGCAGACAGCAGATTGAGGAGGGGAGGGCGGGGGACGAGGGCAGGGAAGAGGAAAAGGAGGGTGAGAAGGCGGCGCCTTTGTCTTTGCCCTTGCCCTTGTCCATGAACTTGCCCTTACCCTTGCCCTTCTTGCCCTTGGACCAGCCCTTGTCCCAACCCTTGCCGTAGTCGCCGCCGCTTTGAGCCGCGCTCTCTTGTCTGACCGAGCGCGGGGGAGCCGAGCGGAATGACGGGCTGAGATCGGGAGCGGGCGCACGAGCGACAGCAAGGGCGAGCAGGGTCGGGGGACGCCAACCAGCCAGTCGCACCGATCCGCTCTGGGCCTGCCTGAGGTCCAGCGGGGTCGAGCCTGGGCCCAGGACTGGCCCTGCTGGGAAGGAGCGCGGTCGGTGTGCAAATGGCCGCGCACTGCCATCTTGAAAGCTAGCAACGATTGCGATTGCACGGATGAGGGCGGTCGGATTTCCAAAGGGAGCTCGCGCCTCAGCGGCGCACATATTCGTCTTCATTGCTTCCAACAGCTAGTTGCACGGATGGAGGGAGGTACTTCTCAAAACGGGGCTCTCGCCTTTGCTCCGTGCAAGTTCGTCTTCAAAGCTTGTAAGAGCTACACTGGTGGTGGCACCTTTTCGAGACAGAATTCTCGCACGAGAATCCCACCACCCATCTGTGCGTAGTTGGTTTAGCAACTTAGCTCTTCCGACCCTCTTCTCCCCATGCTGGAGGGGGGGTCACACTGCTCCTCGTGAACAAAACGCCCACTCCGCCACTCGACCAGCCGCCGACCACAAACCATGGTCAAACACACCAACCATCCCAGTCCAAATTATCCGGGCGAAGGACCCAATCATATGCAAGTGTGGGTACCGCAAGGCAGCTGGGACGAAGGAAGGGGGAGCTCCCTGCGAGGCCACGAGACATGTAAGGGGTGTGCCGAATTGGTGAAGTGACGCACGCGCACCCCACCACAAAAAGCTTTGGGTGGAGCTCTCTGTGGAGCCGCGAAGCGTGTGCGAGGTGCGCCGAAGTGAGCGGCGGGACGCACGGGAGCACTGCCTCAAGAGCCTTCGGTGGAGCGCCCTGTGGGGCCACGGGATGTGCGAGGGGTGCGCCAATTTGCACCCGGGGGGGAGGGGGGACGAGCGCGAGCCCTGCAACAGGAGCCGTCGGTGGAGCCCACTGCGGGGCCACGACGCGTGGAAGGGGCCCACCGAAATTAGCGGGGGGCGCATGCGACCCCTGCCACAGAAGCCTTCAGGCGGAGCTCCCCATGGGGCCACGAAGGGTGTGCTCCCCGTTGGGCAACGAAGCGCGTGAGGGGCGTGCTGACATGGGCCTGGGGACGCACGTGAACCCTGCCACTGGGGCCGTCGGTGGAACACCCTCCATTTCGGCACACCCCTCACACGCTTCATGGCCCCATATTAAGGGAGCTCCACCGAGTGCTCCAGCAGGAGGGTTCGCATGCGCCCCATGAGTCCCCAGGATCATCTCGACACATCCCTTTATAAGCTTCGTGGCCCCATTGGGAGCTCCACCCAAGGTCCCAATGGCAAGGTTCGCATGCGTCCCCCCGCTCAATTCGGCACACCCGCTTGGGGCCACATGTGAACCCTGCCTATGAGGCCTTCCGTGGAGCTCACTATGGGGACACGAAGCGTGTGAGGGGTCCGCCAAAAAATAGGGCTGGGGACGCTTGTGACCCCTGCCACTGGGGCCTTCGGCGAAGCTTCATATGGAGCCACGAAACATGTCTGCCAAAGTAGGCGGAGGGCGCATGTGAACCTTGCCACTGGGACTGTCGGTGATCCCTATGGCACCACGAAACGTGTACGTGGTCTGCCAAGATGGGCCTGGGGACGCATGTGCATTGTGCACCCTGCCACCGGGACCTTCAGTGAAGCTCCCTGTGGGCCACGAAGCGTGCAAGGCATGTGCCGAAAAGGGTCTGACGATTGAGGTCATGATGATGATGGAGAAGAAGAAGAAGAAGGTGGTGAGAATGATGATGGTGATGATGATGGTGATGATGATATCATGACGACTGTGAAGTTGGTGGTGGTGATACGGATGGTGATGATGACGACGACGACGACGACGACGACGAGCATCATGATTATGATGATGATGAAGAGGATGATGATGATGGTGATGACGACAATGAAGATGCTTATGATGGTGGTGGTAATGATGATGATGGTGATGATGATGGTGCTGATGATAATGGTCATGATGATGACGACGATGATGATGGTAGCGGTGGTAATGATGGTGATGATGCGAATGATGATGACAATGATGATGGTGGTGATGACAGTGGTGATGGTGATAATGATGGTGTTGATGACGATGCTCATGATGATGATGGCCATGATGATCATGATAATGATTACGTTTATGATTATGCTGGTGATGATGACGACGATGATGATGATAATGATGATCATCACCATCATCATCATCATGATGAAGACGATGATGATGATGATGATGATGATGATGATGATGATGATGATGATGATGATGATGATGATGATGATGATGATGATGATGATGATTGATGATGATTGATGATGATGATGATGATGATGATGATGATGATGATGATGATGATGATGATGATGATGATGGGGGGGGTAGTGGTGGTGGTGGTGGTGGTGGAAGTGGTGGTGGTGGTGGTGGTGGTGACGATGATGACGGTGATGACAATGCTGATGACGATGATGATGCTGACGATGACGATGAAGAATGGGGCGGGCAGAAGAGAGAGGAGGGAGGGGGAGGAGAGGGGAGGAACGCGGGGCGATGCGTATCCAAAATGATGACCCAACACCAAAGAATGGCTGGGAAAAAACAAGCCTGACGAAAGACCCAGCCATGTGCGGCTACGAATACCGCGACGGGTGTACAGGAATGGCCCGAGGCCGCCATGCGGACCCTGCCAGTGGAGCATTCGGTGGAGCTCCCTTCGGAACCGCGGAGCGTGTGAAGTGTGTACCGAATTTGGCCGAGGCCGCCACGCGAACCCTGTCGCTGGGGGGCCTTCGGTGGAGCTCCCCATGGGGCCGCGAAGCGTGTGAGGGGTGTGCCGGGCGGAGCTCCCTGTTGGGACGCGAAGCGTGTGAAAGGTGTGCCGAAATCGTCCGAGGCCGCCATGCCAACACTCCCGCCAGAGCCTTCGGTGGAGCTTACTGCGGGGCCACGAAACGTGCGAAGGATATGCCGAAATTGCCCGAAGTTCCCGATGGGGCCGCGAAGCGTGTGAGGGGTGCGCCGAAATGGCCCGAGGCCGCCGTGCGAACCAGCCCGCTGGAGCTCCTCGTGGGGTAATGAAACGTGTGAGGGGTGTGCCGTAATGGCCAGAGGCCACCATGCGACCCCCCCGCTGGAGCCTCAGGTGGAGCTCCGTATGGGACCACGAAGCGTGTGAGGAGTGTGGCGAAATGGACGACGTGTGGAGAGCAGAGGCAGGGAGGAAGGGAGGAGGGGGAGGAGGAGGAGGGGCAGGAGGAGGAGGAGGAGGAGGAGGACGACGAGGAGGAGGAGGAGGAGGAGGAGGAGGAGGAGGAGGAGGATGTTTTTTTTGCGGTGCCGCCGCCAGCCCACCCGCGCATCGGCCGCGCAGAGCCGTCGCGCGCGGCCGCGCGGCGCGGCCGCGGCGCCCCGCCCACGCGGGCGACGGGCGAGACCGCCCGCGCGGGACGGGGAAAAGGCCCCGCCCCACGGGCAGGCGGGAGGCCCCAACAGGAGGAGGGGGAGGAGGAAGGGAGGAGGGGGAGGGGTGAGGAACACAGGGCGCTCTCGTCAAAACGAGGACCCAAAACCACAGCAGGATGGTTGGGAATTACAAAGTGCAAGCGGCGGCCAAGTATGGGTCGTGAGCGGGCACCCGAGATCACTGTCCATCCGTTTGCGACAGGGCTGTCGGGGGGTCATAGCAGCCAGCAACGCGCACACCGACGCTCAGCATCAAGACCTGGTACGGACTGACGACGGATGCACACACCGTGCACCATGCTGACTATCCCACCGTCAAGAGGAGGAGGAGGACTTTGCATTGGCTTCTGACGAGGAAGGCTGGGGAGGGCCTCATTTTTTCCGATGCCTGCTGTTACGTGCACTGTCGGACCTGGCGCCTTCTGCGCGCGCCGCGCTCCTGCGGCGGCTGGACCACGCAGTCCACTGGGCGCACGCTGGGCATAATGATGATGTTGATGTTGACGTTGATGTTGATGATGATGCTGATGCTGATGCTGATGCTGATGCTGATGCTGATGCTGATGCTGCTGATGCTGATGCTTGTGCTGATGCTGATGCTGATGCTGATGCTGATGCTGATGCTGATGCTGATGCTGATGATGATGACGATGATGATGATGATGATGATGATGATGATGATGCTGATGATGATGATGATGATGATGATGATGATGACGACTGATGCTGATGCTGATGCTAATGCTGATGCTGGTGCTGATGCTGATGCTGATGCTGATGCTGATGCTGATGCTGATGCTGATGCTGATGATGATGCTGATGCTCATGCTGATGCTTGTGCTGATGCTGCATGCTGATGCTGATGCTGATGCTGATGCTGATGCTGATGCTGATGCTGATGCTGATGCTGATGATGACAATGATGACAATGATGACAGTGATGACCGTGATGATGACAATGATGATGACGATAATGATGACACTGATGATGACGATGATGGTGCTGACGAAGACGACTGGGCGCATGCGGGGCATCTGGCGCAAGGGCGCGCCCGGCATGCCTGGGTCACGAAGGTAACCCGACGCCCCCAGGTGCGCGCGGCGCACTGGCCACCCGCAGCACATCTCGCGAGCAACACACACGTGGCGTCTGCATTGCGTCTGCATTGGTTCCCAATGTAAGACGAAGCCAGGTCGAGGACAAATTCGGGTGAGGATACAGTGGGGCCCGATCCACAAGAAACCTTCCACAAGAAATCCGCCGACCCTGTCGGCGTGTGGAAAATGCTGTTCTGCGCCAGCCACAGCGAAACTGATCAACGTTGTAGTTGAGTCGAAGGGAAGCCCCTTCCCTTGATCCCTTCCCCGCCGGGGAGGCGGGGTGGGTCCCTGGGGGGGGGTCCAGGGGAGGGGTCCCGGGGGGTCCTGGGGCAGATACAACTCCCCCGCAGGCGGTTCGGAGGCCCAGAAAAGCCCCAAGACGCAGCAAAAGTACCCCAAGACGTCCCCAAGACGGTCTTCGAGGGCCCCGAATCGCCGAAGTATCGGTCCAAGTCGCCAAAGTAACCTCCAGACGGCTCAAAAGGTGTCCAAAACCCCCCAAGAGGCCTCGAAGAGGACTTCAAAGTCAGCCCCAAGGGGCAAAAAAACATAGATTTCCCGTAGGTTTTTGAAAGATTTCAGCATTCTCGCCTTGTCAGCTTCCCGACGCTCCAAGACAGGCCAAGAGTCCAAGACCGCCCCAAGATGGCTCAACAGGCCTCCAAGAGAGCTCCACAACGACCCAAGAGGGCCCCAAGACCGCCCAAGAGGCCTCCAAGACAGCCGAGGAGACCCCCAAGACGGCTCCAAGAGGGAGCCTAGACGGGGGACCCGAACGGACATGTCGATCCCTCGGCCTGAGAAGCTCTCAGGAAGCCCCCAGAGGCCCCTCAGAAGCCCCCCAAGAGGCCCCAAGAGGCCCCCAAGAGACCCCCAGGAAGCCCCAAGAGGCCCCCACGAGGCTCCCAAGCGGCTCCCAAAAGCTTCCCAAGAGGCCCCCAAATTACCCCCAAGAGGCCCCCGAGAGCGCTCGCCGTCGTCGTCGTCGTCGTCATCGTCGTCGTCATTGAAGGTCGGCGGCACTAACCGTAAGGCCTTCGCAATCCAACCCTGAGACCCCAGGACGTCCATTGATTTTTGGTGTGGGAACGTCACGCCCTCTATCGCAAAACCATGGAAGCCCAAGAAACCCAGGGCACCCTGGAGGCAAGCAGGGTGTTTCTTGGCATGGGTTTCCACTGTTAAATCGAGAATCTCTGAGATCCGGCGGCTCTGGAGGATGTATCGGGCGCCGCGGCCTTCTCAGAGCGCTCCCGAACGCTCCAGAACGGATGTATCCTCGTCCTAGTCCCGTCCGACAATTGCAACCTCTGCATATGCTGCGTCTCGGATGAGGGCGGGCGGGAGTGAGCAAGACGGGATGCAGCGTTCCAGTGGAGAACTGAACTGTCCCCGAGGCGCCGCGACGAGGGGTCTGATCTTCCAAGATGGCCCAAGATGGCTCCGAGGTGAACGCAGATGGCCCGAGATGGCCTGCAAGATCGTACAGTATAGTCCACGGTGGACCAAGTTAACCCACCACATGCTTCCTGGAAGACCTAAGGCCGCCCCGAGACGGCTCCAAGTGGCCACGCAGCTGCCCAGGGAGGGCCCCGAGAGGCCGAAATATTGTGTTTTCTTATGAGAAACAAACAACACAATGTGTGTTTGCAAACGAGTTGTCCGATCTCGCCTTTTCCCGTTCGCTATGTTTCTGAGGCATCAGCATGGCCCCCACGATCGCCCACGAGAGCCCCAGAAGGGCCAGGAAAGGTACCAAGAGAGCCCCAAGAGCGTCCCAAGAGTGCCCAGAGAGGCGATGCTCCAGGCTCAGGGGAGGGACAAATTCAGGTTGATCAAAGCCTCCAGGAAGGACCCCGAGGAGGCCTCCAGAGGGCCCCAAGAGGGCCTTGCGGGATCCCGAAAGGGCTTCAAGAGGGAGCTCGAAGACGGCTCCGAGAGGTCTCCAGGCGGCTCCAGAGGTCCCAAAGTTCACCACTGTTGGCCTCGCTGTCGTACTGTTTGCTTCTCCACTTCCGTTCCCCCAGCAACTGACTACCTACCAGACCACCCCAACCCAACCCGAAGATCCGACTTTCGGGTTGGGGGGGGGTCCAGGGTTCCACATGTGTTTTTTCGATGTTTCCCGACCCCCCCCACACTGGAAATCAAGGGTAAATCTGAGCCTTCGGGTTGGGTTGGGGTGGTTTGGTGGGTGGTGAGCAACTCGCCTGAACATCGTTTCTGGATGGGCCGGCGCGGGGCTCCCGCCCAAATGGCACGCCCTGGGGGGCGCTCGCTTCTCAGGGGGGCAAAATCCCAGCAGTGCGTGAGGGGCCCTCGCTGGCGCGTGGGGCCATCAGAGGGCGCTCGCCTTGCAAGGGGGGCACTCCTTGTAGTGACAGGGAGGCCCGCAGTGACTCCTCAGGGATGGACCTCAGGACGGGGGGGGGGGCAGCTGCAGCAGTCTGACCGCGGGCACCCCTGGGTATACAGCGCGGACGCGGCCGCAAGAAACGCTCGCGAGAAACACAGCCCTGAAGACCCCGTGAGCGAGGTGCGACTGGGGGCGCAGCAGGTTCATTTACGGACGCGGGAAGCCACCGCGCAGCGCGCGAAGCGAAAAAACCCAGGGTGCCCTGACGAAAAGCATCAAATTTCTGGATGCGCGGCTCAGGGCTCGAGCGAAACAGCGTCTTCCGCTTTCGCTGTCTGTTCGCTGGTCTCCGTTTCGTCTCAGTTCTGCCTCTGCTGCGACACGAAGTCAGCACGAGAAGGGTCGGAGAAAGACCGCCGAAACACGGCTCGGCTCGAGCCCTGCTCGTCCTGGCTCCGCCCGACCGCAGCCTGACGCTGCCCGAGGGCCCGACGGAAACCGCCTCGGCCCTCCGGCAGCTCCCGGAGCGCCCTCCGACCCGCTGCCGAGCCTCCGCCTCCTCCCCCGACGGCCTCGCGCCGTGCAAAACTCCCGACCGGAAGCGTCTGGTTCTGTTGCGGGCCCAACAGTACACAGCACCACCTCCTCCCTCACCCCCCATCCCTCTCAGGGAAGAGGAGGGGAAGAGGAGAGTAGGGGAGGAAGGAGGAATGGAGGTGATGGTGTGTGGTGTATACTCCTGGGGCCCGCATTTTGGCATTTTCGGCCTTACTGGGCCATGGGAAGGCCAGAAAACGACTCGGGATGAGAAGTCAAGCCCCGGGAAGTGGTCCAGATCTCTGGGGAGCCCCGTGGCGAAGAGAGCACAACGTCGGACGTCTGGGTCGCCCCCCCTCCTTCCTGGCGAAGCGCAGGCTCCTGTCCATGGACTGCTTGCGGAGGAGCTTCTCGATCATACCCGGCTTGGGCCTGGCGTCCTCGTCCATCAGAGCGCCAGACATCATCCGCCGCTCCTCCTGCAGGGCCTTCTTCTCGGCGTTGGCCTTGCTCGGGAAATTCGCGCGGCGCCCCGCAATCCACGCCTTGATCTCCTCTGGCGACTCCAGGACGCTTTTGCCGTCCGCCGCCTTGGAATGCGACAGCCTGTGAGCAGCCATGGAGTGCTCGGGGCCAGAAAAGGTGCACCCTGGCTCCGTGCAGGGGATGTGGTCCTCCTTTATGTGCTCCTCGTACCGCTCGCGCCGCTTGAGGTCCTTGTTGCACACGTTGCAGAAGAACTCGCTGGGGGCCTTCTCCCTCTTCAGCCACTTCTTGGCGCTGACGAAGGGTGTGCACCTCTTTGGGGGGCAGAAGCAGGATCAATGACACGCCGCCGTGCGGAACCCATCAGCGCGACTGTGGAAGAAGCACCCCGCCGTCGGAAAAACGAAGGAAGAACACGCTGGCGGTCTCCCAACGGCCGACTGTCATTGATGCTCTCCCTCCCTGCCGACCTCTGGCTCTGGTGGCCCCAGCCGCGCTGGAAGCTGGAGCGCTGCTGCTGGCCCCCGCGGCCCCAGTCTTGGCGGCCGCGGTCCCCCCCGCCGCCCCACCGCCCGTCGCGGCTCCGGCCCGCGCCCGACGCGGAGGAGGCCGCGGCGCTCGGGGAGGCGCTGCGGTCGCGCGGGAAGCCACTGCCCCACCTGTCGCCCGCCGCCGGCTGACGCGCCCGCCAGCCGAGCCCACCGCCGCCCTCGAAGCGCCCGCCGCCCGCGCGCTGCTCTCCGGAGCCGGACCAACGGCGGCCGCCGCCCCACTCTTGGCGGTCGCCGCCCCACTCCTGCCAAGCAGTTCAGAGATGGGGTCCCGAGGCAGTGGGCCCCAGGGCGAGGGGGCCTGAGCAATGCAGACTCAACCCGGAGCTGGCCGCGAGCCACGAGCTTGCCTGTGCCACGAGCTCTGTGCCTTCGGCACATGGTCGCGCATCGGCTCCGGCAGTTGCTGCCTGTCCCGCCGCGGCTTGCTGGAGTCTCTGAAGCTGCACGCCGCCCGTGGATCTGGGACCATTCCTACAGGGCCCCATCCCTCCAGACCCCATCTCTGAAACCCCGATCCTGGCGGTTCCAGCCGTCTTGCTTCGACTGGTGATCCTCGAGCACGGCCGCCATGCCTCTCACTTCCTCGGCCCCGCCGCCTGGCCGGGTCGGCGGCTGGGGCGTGCGGCTGCGGTCGCGCTGATCGGCGGACCTGGTCCGGGACGCAGGCGGGGGCGCTGGCGGCGCCGGCTGCGGCGGCGGCGGCGCCGGGAGCGCCGCCAGCCGCGGAGGCGAGGGCAGCGGGATTGCCTGCCCT